CGCCTCCTGCCGCTGCTGTGCGGGGGGGCGAGGAGCAAGGGGGCCTCCCTCGGCCCCGGGGTGCCGGGCCGCCTCGCCCAGCGGCGCTACAAGAAGGACGTGCTACCCTCCCCTGAGGGGCCCGTGCCCTCCGTCTCCATCACCGAGATCCGGCAGTACCTGCGGGCCCAGGGCATCCCCTTCCACGACGGCTACAGCTGCCTCCACACCCCCAGCCTCTTCACCGACGGCCGGGAGGACCAGCCACCGGCGGCCCCCAGCCACCGGCGGCCGCCGCCAGCGCACCTTACACACTTTTCATTGACAAGACGACGGGCAGCTTTCTGTGCACGGCCACCCTGGCCGAGGGCACCTGGCAGGACTTCCAGGCCAACGTGGAGCTGCGGCACCGCGGTGTTCCCCCCGCCAGCTCAGAGGAGCCGGAGGAGGACACGCGACGGGCTCGCGAGGATGCCCGCTGCATCTGGGACCGGGCGCTGCCGCTCTGGGAGCTGCTGGACGAGGATGAGACCAACAAGACCAAGGCCATGTTCGGTATCTCCCTGGTGACGGACGCCACCCTGAAACGCTTCGGGGTGCGTTATCTGAGGACCGCCAAGTCCCTCGTCTTCCCCTGGTTCAGCCCCCGTGATGCGACCCTGAAAGGCCTGAAGCTCGTGAGGGTGGAGAAGAAGGGGGATGCGATAACTTACGTGGAAGAGACTTTACCCCGCTTTGATTCCTATCGCAATCTCTTTGGGCTGCCCCTGATCGGCCGCCGAGACACAGAGCTGGTCTTAACCGGGTGGGAGCTGGATGCCCTGGCCCTGCACCAAGCTACGGGGGTGGCCAGCCTGGCCCTGCCGCGGGGGGCCACCTGCCTGCCCCCCGCCCTCCTCCCCTACCTGGAGCAGTTCAAGCGCATCACGCTGTGGCTGGGCGAGGACCTGCGCTCCTGGGAAGCCGCCAAGCTCTTTGCCCGCAAGCTGAGCCTCAAACGCTGCTCCCTGGTGCGCCCCGGTGACCTGCAGCCCCGGCCCTTGGAGGCTCTGAACCAGGGCCTGAACCTCACCAAGATCCTGCGTGCCGCCCTGCCTGCCAGCCACAAATCCATCGTCTCCTTCCGGCAGCTGCGCGAGGAGGTGTTCGGGGAGCTGGTCAACACCGAGCAGGTGGCTGGTGTCAAGTGGGCACGCTTCCCCGAGCTCAACAAGCTCCTCAAAGGGCACCGCAGAGGGGAGCTCACCATCTTCACAGGTGATGGGCAAGTGGCTGGTGGACAGAGGGAGCAGAGGGCTCTTTGGTGGCTTCACCCTCCTGGGGATGACGCCTCACGAGTCTTCCTGGTCCCTTTCTGCTCATGGCTTCGGCTAGCCTGTCATGGCATTGCACGGGAGGCTGGGGCGCGGTTTTGGGTGCGGTGGGGCCAGGCACAACGGCGTGAGGGTGGGCTCCGTGCCTGGGGCGGCACAGGAACTCCTGGGGTGTCCCTTCCCCCTGCTCCCATCTGCTACCTCCTGTCTGAGCCCTCTCTGTGCCCCCCCACCGGCTGCCCAGCCCTTCCCTGCACCCTGCAGGGACCTGCTGGCTGCTGGAGGTGACACGCATGTGCCTGGACGCGCAGCCTGACGTGTTTGTGGTGGGAGTGCTGTGGATGGGCCACTCTTAGTCTGCTCCCTGGTGCTTCCACCTCTAAACAACGCCCTGGTGCATTCAAGACAGGTCAGATCTTCTCCCCCAGCTAATTTTTCCCATTGTTGTCCTTGCGCCAGGCCCGACGGGCAGTGGGAAGACGACCTTTATCAGCGAGTACGCACTGGACCTGTGCATGCAGGGGGTGTGCACGCTGTGGGGCAGCTTCGAGATTAACAACGTCCGCCTGGCCAAGATCATGCTGACGCAGTTTGCCGCCCAGCGCCTGGAGGACCAGCTAGAGCTGTACGATGAGTGGGCCGATCGCTTCGAGGACCTCCCGCTCTACTTCATGACCTTCCACGGCCAGCAGAACATCAAGTATGGTCCCACACCATCATCCCTGGTGACATTTACCCCTCACGGCATGTGCTGCAGGGCCCTGGGAGCCGGGGCTCTTCTCCCGCAGTGGGTTGTGGATTTGGGGCTAGCAGGAGGCACGCTGGGGCTGGTCAAGTCCTGGAATTGGCACATGGGGACTGTGTAGCTCAACTGGCCGCATCTCTGCTGTTGCAGGGACTGTGACAGCCTCCTTCTGGGGTAGGAATGAAGGAAGGGGACCTGTCCCTGTGCTAGGTGGCTGCTCCAAAACCAGCCTCTGCCCCTGGCAGGATGTGTCCCCACGCCCTGCTCACCTGGCAGCACTGCTCTTTGCTGAAGAGGGAGGATGGGCACATCCAGCTCCTTTTATTCACTAGGCGCTGTGGTGCCTGCACACATCCCCATGTGCCCTGAGTGTCCCCATGGACTGGAGGGATTGTGGGACAGTGGGCAGGGGCTGTGTGGGTGGCAGCTGGGTCCTCCTGATCCAGCTGCTCTTACCTGTGGGACAGGGCTGCCCCCATCCTGTGACGAATGAGATGTGGAGGTGGGACGTGCCCAGGGCCTGGTGGTCAGTGGCCAGCTGCCATCGGCAGCAGCCTGGTGCCTCCCCGCTCTGCCTCTCCCCCGTCCCTGTGCCTGGCTTAGCATTCCCATCCTCGCCTCTGCTCATCCCCATGGCTGATCCCAGTCTCCCCTCACCCAGGACGGTGATTGACACCATGCAGCATGCTGTCTACATGTACGACATCACCCACGTGGTCGTTGACAACCTCCAGTTCATGATGGGACACGAGCACCTCTCTGTGGACAGGTAGCCCTTCTCCAAGCCGCCCCCTCCTTCCTCTGCCACCCTCGTCACTGGAGCTGGCCCTGTCGTGTGTCACGGCAGGGGCTGGGGACCCACACAGGGTGTCCCCTTTAGTCCTGTCTGGCAGCCCTCTTTTGTTGAAGGGCGATCACTGCCCTGGGGAGGAAGAGGTGGGAAAGGGTGAGCCGGTTACCTGCGATCCCTGTCGTGCCCCATCCCTTTGCCCACATGGGCATGGCTGCTCCACGGAGCATGAGCCCGGACCCCTGGGTGCTTCCTGCTGTGGGGCCGAACCTGGCAGCACCTTGCTGTCCCCCGCACCGAGCAGTGCCAGCCTCTGACTCCCTTCTCGCTGCTGTGGCAGGCTCGCTGCCCAGGACTACATCGTTGGTGCCTTCCGCAAGTTTGCCACGGACAACACCTGCCACATCACACTGGTCATCCATCCCCGCAAGGAGGATGACGAGAAGGAGCTGCAGACGGCCTCCATCTTTGGCTCCGCCAAGGTGAGCTGGGCCAGGGTGGCCCTTCCCATCCCTCGGGCACAGCGTGTTCCCAGGAAGGGGCTGGGATACGTTTGGCAGCCGTCCCCAGCTCCCACCAGCACCCTGAGTCATGGCTGGGGACCTGAAAGGTGCTGTGAGGGGCAGGATGTCCCCAGGACTCCTGCCACTTGCTGAAGATGTGTGGAGTACCGATTTGGCCAGGCCTTGGTAGGGAGATGCAGACAGGGAGCAAACCCTTTGCCAACTAAAGCTCTGTTGCGGCTTTAGGTGCAGTTAATTAACGCTCACTGACTGTGAGTGGGATGTAGTATGAGATAATTAAAGCAGGAGCCAGGGAGGGTGCGGGGATGGGCTCTCCCAGTGCTCCAGTTTCTGCTGTGGTGCTGAACGACCCTGCAGTGGTGGGCAGGAGGTGCTCTGTGAGTGTGCATGGCCCTCCCGTGCTCCCCTGTTCCCCCAGGTGTGCTGCGGCTTCAGCTCGAGCCTGTCTGCCCGGTGGGTCGCTGGGATGTCCTGGGGGAGGACAAGGGGTTGGTGTCAGGGAGGTGCTGGAGTTGCCATGGCCTGGGATGCCCCATAACAGAGTCAAAGGAGCTGGGCAGGCAGCCCGTGAGCACCTCTGAGCCCTGTGACTCTGGCTGCATCCCGAGCACCCTCCTGGAGATGTTTTCCTCCCCGCAGGCCAGCCAGGAGGCTGACAACGTCCTCATCCTGCAGGATCGTAAGCTGGTGACGGGGCCAGGGAAGCGCTACCTGCAGGTGTCCAAGAACCGCTTCGACGGGGACGTGGGTGTCTTCCCCCTGGAGTTCAGCAAGGCCTCGCTCACCTTCTCATCCTCTGGCAAAAGCAAGGTCAAGCTGAAGAAGATGAAGGAGGAGAAGGCGGTTTTAGCCAAGAAGGCTCTGGGAGGCTCAGGAACCTCCAAGAAGCCATGAGCTTGGCAGGTCTCTTCTTCGGTCCGTCAGGAGGGATGGGGACTGGCGCTGGGAGCACAGGGCTTGGGTATGCCAGCCCCTCTCCCCTGGGAGCAGCAGCCACACGCCGCTGTGGCCCTTTCTCCTGCATGAACAAGCCTCTTGGCCACCAGCATGGTGTCTCTGAGATGGAGGGCCACCGTGAGAGGAGGAGTGGGCTCGTTCCAGACAAGAGCGGCCAGGGGAGGGTGCTTTGGCAAATGCTGGCTGCTCCATACTGGTGCTGAGTGCTGGGAGCACGGGGAGGGAAGTGGAGTCAGCGTGGGCTGGGTGACGGGGGGCAGTGACCTGCAGCCCCAGGACTTGGGGATCTCTGGATCTGGGGCAGGTTGTTAAATTGTGGTTAAAATGGAACCGAAATCCTGGTGGGAGGGACACATGGTGGGGAACCCCCCCCCCCGGTCATGGGTGGAGGGGTCTCTGGGCTCGATCCTGGCTGGGATGGAGCCAGCGAGGGGCAGGTGGTGGAGGGAAGCGTGGGAGACTGTGGGTGGAGCAGTGCGCTCTCCGTGGGACGTGGTGGGAGGGTGGGCGCGGGACCCCTGTGGCACTGCTGCTTGCGGCGAGTTGAAGGCAGCGTTGGCAGCGTCGTGCAACATGGTGCTCGCCAGCTCTGCTGGCTCGGCTGACGCCAGACCCAGCCCCCTTTGCTCAGGGTCTCCCCCGGCCCCTTTCTCCGGGGAGCATCACCAGCAGTAAAACCTTGGGGGGAGCAGCCCTGCCTTGCTCTGCTGGGCTGGGGGGTGGCCACCCCCGTGCTCTCTGGCCTGCGGGCAGCAAATACTGTGACCTGGCCAGTCCTGGCCGTGGCAGGACAAATCCACGGCTGGATCTTGGTCTAATATCTCTTTTTTTTTTTTTTTTTTTCTCCCCCCTCCTAGTTTTATTAAAGCCGAAATGTGAGTGCTGAACTGTGAGTGCTGTTCCTGTGCCCCGTCCTCGTGACTGGGGGACCCAGGGGCTGGGGGGG